CTGCAGGAACAGCCCTGAGACCCCTCTGGGGCTGACCCGTCACACTGCAGCCAGGCACCCCACCACTCAGAGGAGCTAGTGGTGACCCCATCAGGGCTGCTCAGCTTGCAGGCAACGCCCCAGGCCCCACAGCTACCAGCAAGCCAAAGACAGAGCCCTAGCCAGCCTGGGCCGAGGGCTGAGCCTGGGCCCCACCATCAGGCTCCCAAAGATCAGGAGCCTCGATGGCGCCTGCAGATGCACAAACCATTGACTGGAAATGAATCTGTGTTCTCAGCCCAAGGTAACTGCCGCGACAACAAGGCCAGTAACATTTACCGGGTGTGTGACAGTGCCGAGCACTCGACAGATGTGCTCTACCAGTTAACACTCACAAAAACCAACCCCGGGAGCTGGGAACTAAGAGGAGCCCCATTTCACAAAGGAGGAAACTGAGGCTTCTTGCCTAAGGCTCCAGAGCTAGGAAAGAAGCACATTCACTATTCAAATCCAGATCTGTCAGACTCCCGACACACGGTTTCCCAAGATGGTTTGTTTGAAGCAGCCGCGGTTGTTTCTCAGAGCAAAATCTCACAGGGAACCCCACTCCATCACATAGAGAAGACCACGTGCTTGGGCCGTTATTTGCCTCTCATGGCTTCACAGACTCGAGACGTTTTATAAGTGATGAGAAAACAGTTTTTACCTCCACTTGAGTTTTTCTAACAGCTTCCCGTGGTGTTCGGAATAAAACGCTAACCGCTCACGGGTACCCTTGCCCGCATATACTCCCACTCCCCTTCTTCCCTCTATGTGCTCTGGCCACACTGGCCTCTTCTGCTGTTGTTCTTGTTCTTTCTTCAAAACACATTAAACTCTTTCCCACCTCAGGGCCTTTGCCCATGCTGTTCCCTGTGCCTTGGATTCCCAACAACTCTTACTTAGGGTGAAGATCTCAGCCCAAAAGTCACCTCAAGACTCACTATGAAGCTTTGGGAATTAAGAGAGAGTGGATTTAGGATAAAGGTGTCATTGCAATCCATTAGGGAAAAGCTGGTCACATCAACAAATGGTGCTAGAACAATGGGGGTATCCTCTGCAAAAGAAGAACGGTGACCTCCGAGCTCACACCATACACAAAAAACTAATTTGAGATGGATCACAGTCCAAAATGTGGAGGCCAGAACAATACAGCTTCTAGAAGAAAATACTTTCATGATGCTGGGTAGGCAGAGTTCTTTAACAGAACACAAAGAGCACCAACCGTGAAAAACTAGACTTCACAAAAATTAAGAACTCCTGCTCAACAAAACATGGCGACCCCATGTGTGTCAGAGCAGAACTGTGCTCCACAGGATTTTCAGTGGCTGATTTTTCAGAAGTAGATCGCTGGGCCTTTCTTCCAAGGCATGTTTGAGTGTACTTGAACCTCCAAACATTTGCACCACCCAGGGACTCCAAAGACCCCATTAAAGATGTAAAAAGCAGCCCACAGAGCAGAAGTCACCATACAAAGGAAGTGTATCCTGACTATATAAAAACTCCTACAAAACAACTGAAAAAAAGACAAACAACAGACAACTCAATAAAAATAGCAGGCACTTCACAAAAGAGTAAATTCCAATGGTCAATGAACAAATGAAAAGATGCTGAACCTCCGGAGTCGTCAGGGACACACACAATAAGGCCACGAGGAGACACCAGTCCACATCTACCAAAACCAAAAAAAACCAAGCCCACTGCCGTGGAGTTGATTCCGACTCATAGTGACCCTACAGGACTGAGTAGAACTGCCCCATAGGGTTTCCTAGGAGTGGCTGGTGGATTCGAACTGCCGACCTCTTGGTCAGCAGCCTTGGTTAGAGCTCTTAAGCACTGCACCACCAGGGTTCCCTACACCCACCAGCGGGGCTGAAATGAAAGACTCTCAGTACCCGGTGCTGGTGAAGACAGGGAACAGCTGGAGCCCTCTCGCATTGCTGGTGGGGAGACAAAACGGTGCAGACACTTTGAAAAACAGCTTGGCAGTTTCTTAGAAAGTCAAATACGCTACTACCATAATATGACCCAGCAATCCTACTTGTAGGAACCTACCCAAGAGAACTGTAAGCCTATGTCCACACAAAGACCCAGACACAAATTTCATAACAGCTTTGTTCATCATCGTCCCAAAGTAGAAACAACTCAAATACGTGTGGACAGGTGAATGGACAGCCCATCTGCACAATGGGATTGTTGTCGTCAGCTGCCGAGGAGTCAGCCACCGCTTCATGGCAACCCCACGCACAAGGAACAAAATGATGCCTGGTTCTGTGCCGTCCCCCATGGTCAGTTGTAGATCAGACCATTTGATCCACAGGGTTTTCGCTGGCTGATTTTGGGAAGTAGACTGCAAGGCCCTTCTTCCTAGTCCACCTTAGTCTGGAAGCTCTGCTGAAACCTGTTCAGCATCACAGCAACACGCAAGCCTCCAGTAATAGACGGGTGGTGGCTGCGCATGACATGCATTGGTCAGGAGTCGAACCTGGGTCTCCTGCATGGAAGGTGAAAACTCTATCCCTGAACCACCACTACCCTTGTACAGTAGACTATTCCTCGGCAACAAGAAGGAACAAACTATTGGTGTGCACAAGGATACCGAGGAATCTCAAAAACACACAGAGTGAAAGAAGCCAGGAATAAAGGGTGCCATGCTGTGATCCCATTTATACAAAATTCCAGGGCTTCCAACCTGTTCAAAATGGTTTAGTCATGGCTGTTGTAAACAAGGGCAGCGTATGCATTGCATAGCAACCAAATCTGTTATCTGTGGGATTCTGACCCAAGTAGGAAATAAAAAGCAGTGCCCACTCAAAAATGGCGGCCGACTACACCCCTTTGAATGTTTTAGGAGCCTCATGCAAGAGACTGGATTATTGGCAGGACTGTGGAGAGCAACAGGGAGCCCTAGTGGTGCAGTGGTTAAGAGCCTGGCTGCTAATCAAAAGGTCAGCAGTTCAAATCTACCAGCCACTCCTTGGAAACCCTATGGGGCAGTCCTACTGTCCTATAGGGTCGGTATGAGTCAAAATCGACTCGACGGCAACAGGTTTTGGTTTGGTGGAGACCAACACACATTTAAAGTGGTGCAGTCGGCCGCCATCTTTAGCAGGGCACTGCTGTTTGTTTCCTACTCAAGTCAAAATCCCACAGGCAACAGATTTGGTTGCTATGCAACACGTATGCTGCCCTTGTTTACGACAGCCATGACTGAACTGGTTCGAATCCCTGCTTCAAGAACAAGGAAATCTAACCCATGTGATAGGTGCTGGCATGTATGCTGGAGGGTGGGGTGCAGGGTACTGGCTTACAGGTCGCTGGAGGGAACCGTCTGAAGTGTGGGGTCCCTCAGGAATACGAACACGTAAATGTGCATTGAGCTGTGCTCTTAGGATGCACTTCAAGCACTTCAGGGCATGCATGTTACACCACAAAGAAGTTTAAAAAGAAGGTTACTCACACAAGAGGCTTCTCTGACAACACCTACCCCCAGCCAGATTGGGGCCCCTCGGTTATCCTCCCAGAGGCCTCTTGCTTTTCCTGGAGAGCACGTGTCACAATTTATAATCTCACATTTGTTTATGGGTTTATTCCTTCAATAGCCCCCACTAGAATGCCAGCTCTCCCCAGCTCCCAGCATGCACTGGGCACATAGTAGATGCTCATTAATATGTCGAACCAACGAATGAATGAATATCAGTCTCCTCCACCCAGACTGTGGGCCCCTCAGGGCTGGGATCACATCTGCTTTGCTCACACTCTAGCACAAGCCCCCAGCACACAGAAGGACCACAAAGAATAATCAGGCATTAAAGGAAAGGCCCATGATCCCATCAACTCAAGGCTGGAGAGTATCAGGTGTGTGGAATGCCCCGACCTTTCAACCTCAAGCCCAAGGTTGGAATTAAGTTGACTGCAAAGGAAAAGGGCATTTTTAAAACATGCAAGAAAATAAAATTTTGACAAAGCACGGGAGTGCGACGGAATTCCACGGCAGTTCTGAACCCACTAGGAAGACAACTCCTCTCTGTCGCAGTCCATTGGGTCAGGGTTTCCAAGGACCATGCACCAACCTGCCACTAGCCCACATGATGCCTGCGTACAAACCAAAAAGAACCCCTGGACATTCTACAAAATCCCTGACCAACACTCCCCCAAACTGTCAAGGCCATCAAAACCAAGGGAAGTCTGAGAGGCTGCCCCACACCAGAGGAGGCTAAGGAGATTTGACAACTAAATGTAGAGTGTCCTAGCTGGGATCCCAGGACAGAAAAAGGATGTTAGAGAAAAGCTAGTGAAATCTAATGTAGCCACGTTGGTTCCTCAGTAGTGACACATGTACTATGTTGCTGTTGCTGGCTGCCCTGGAGTCAATCATGACCGACAGTGACCCATGTGTGCAGAGAAGAACTGCTCCATAAGGTTTTCAAGGCTGTGATCTTTCGTTAGGAGATCTCCAGGCCTTTCTTTTGCGGCGCCTCTGGGTGGGTTTGAACCGGCAACTTTTTGGCTAGTAGTCGAGTGCTAACCATTTGAGCCACCCAACCAAAAACCAAACCCACTGTCCTCAAGTCAATGCCTACTCGTGGCGACCCTATAGGACAGGGTAGAACTGCCCCATAGGGCTTCCAAGGAGCAGCTGGTAGATTCAAACTGCTGACCTTTTGGTTAGAGCCAAGCTCTTAACCACTGCGCCACCAGGGTTCCTTGTGCCACCCTGGGGCTCCTAAATGTACCACAGCAACACAAAATGTTAACACTACGGGATGCTGAGTGAGTATATATGGGAACCCTCAGTATCATCGTACTATCTTTACAACTTTTCCATAAACCTACAATCAATATAAAATAATTTTTTAAAAAAGGTATACTGCCTATGGGCACTTTGTAGCCACCTGCTAGAAAGCTGGCACCCACCACACCCAAGCCATGCGGTGACAGGCGATGCATGCAGTGCGCAGGCTACATGCCAAGGCACTCACCTTGGGTGGGTCAAAGAGCTCCAACACGCGGTCGGAGCCACCGTCTGGGCCGCTCGCGCGCCTCAGGGCCAGCCGCCCGCGCTGCCAGCGCGCCCCACTGTCCATGGAGGCCTCGTCGGCCACGCTGTAGCGCAACGCCGCCTCCTTGACAGCCTCAGGCGGTGGCTCTCGGACCAGGCTCCAGGGCAGGAGCTTCCTGGCCAGACTAGGTCGTGCTGGGGCTTCACTCGCCTCGCCGGCAGCACAGGCTCCGGGGACTCCGGGCAGCTCCCCGGCTGAGCGGCGGCGGAAGATGTGGCGCAGGCTGCGGCGCAGCTGCTGGAGCGCGCAGGGCCCGGGCGGCCGCGGCGGGGCCAGGTCCTCGGAGCTGCGCGCCTTGGGCAGGGCGGGGGCGGTGGGGCGCGTGTTCGCCTCGGCAGGACGCGCCTCAGCTTTGGCCGGGGGCCCACGGCCCGTCTCGCGGTAGTCCCGTGCCGGGGGTCCGGGTGCGCGGCCCTCGCGCACCTCGCGGCAGAAGTAGCGCTGGAAGAGGTCGGTGAACTGCAGCGAGACCAGCTCGGCGCGCAGCGGCACGTGGTGCGGATGGTCGCGGGCGAAGAGCCAGTATTGCCGGGCTAGCTCACGGGCCGTGGCCACAGCATGCAGCTCGCAGAACTCGCTCCAGCCCCGGGGTGGCGGGGATGTTGCTGCCGTGGCCGAGGACACGCTGGCAGATGAAGCAGGGGACGTGGAGGAGGCCGAGGCAGGCTGCAGGGTGGGACCGTTCATGGTGGAGACCCAGGGGGAGCAGCCAGGCTGAAATACACAAGGGGGGTGTGGGGCAAGAGTGAGCACACAGAAAACAAATGGCTACTTAAAACAACAGCCAGCAGCACATCGTCAAAAACGTAAAAACATAGATAATATCCAGTGCTTGTGAAGATGCGGTGAAATGGACACTCCCCTACCCTGTTGCTGGTACTGGAGAATAACTTGGCAGGATCTAGTGTAGACCCAATAACTCCACTTTTAAGCGCTCGATTCCACTATTAAATATTCTTGCTCATTTGCACAGAGAGGAATGTTTGAGAACATGCTTCACAGGCATTTCCTGGGCAGTGTTTATCACAGGAAAAGTTAGGTACAACCTAAAGGACTATCTGTAGGGGGCTAAAATAAACTGGTACACCTGTAGGAATATTCTGAATCAGCCGGAAAGGATATAGAAGGAAGACCAGTGCTACCACCTTGAAGAGATTTCCAACAGACTCTGTTAAGCAAGAAAGCAAACCACAAAACAATACAAGCTACATGTATATAAGTGTAAACACACACAATACTAAACTGCCAATTTTTATGTGCAGATAAATGTACATAAGTATATTTAAATACAGGCTAGAAAGGTCTGGTTGGTGCAAACCCATACAGAAATAGCGGTGACCTCTGGGGAGGAACCAGAGTTGGGGTGCAGGGGAAAGTAACCAAGGAGGCCTGTTAACTACTTCTCCCTAGAAAATACAGTTAAGAACAGGGATTCTGGGGCCTGGGTTCAAATCCCAGCACCACCACTTACTAGAGAGTGACCTTGGGCGAGTTACTTAATTTCTCTCGGCCTTAGTTTCCCCACCTGCAAAATGGGGATCATAATCGTACTATCTGATAGAGTGTTATGAGGATTAATACATGTAAAGGCTTTAGAACCTAGTAAATGTTTAATAAAAGCCAGCTGTTGTTCTCGTGGAATCCATGCGTGGTGGTGCAAGTGGTCAAAGCGCTCAGTTGCTAACCAAAAGCTTAGAGGTTCAAGTCCACCCAGAGGTGCCTCAGAAGAAAGGGCTGGCAATCTGCTTCCAAAAAATCAGCCATTGAAAACTCCATGCGGAACAGTTCTACTTGGCCACACTTGGGGTCACCATGAGTCAGATTCGATGGCAACTCATTTTTTTGGGTTGTTACTGCTATTTAAATGTTACAAGAATATTATTTGTGCTAATAAAAATAAACAAATAAAAAGGAACATATTAACAAGGAAGTAGAAAAGATGTGGCAGTCTGCTTCTGTAAACATTACAGTTTTGGAAACTCTATGGGCAGTTCTATTCTGTCCTATAGGATTGCCATGAATTGGAATCGACTTGACGGCAGTGGGTTTGATTTGGATATTAACAAGAATCCCAAGAGGAACAAAGGTATTTCCTGCTCTGATGGGGGACTCTCAGGACGGGTGGAGGCCCTCGCCTGTCCATCTAACTGGGGCTCCCATCTCCTCCCACATCCTGCAGGTCCTTCCTCAGGCACAACATTGTCAAAATGGCACCAAAGCCCCCCCCGCCACCCCACACACACACTGCTGTCTGCGGTGCTGCATAGCTCTACCCCCCAGCACCTGCCTTCCTCCCTACTAAGCCTGGCCAGGCCTGGGCCCCCCTGGGGACCACATCTCTGTACCCGGCCTCCCCTTTGCCCACTCTTCAGGAAGGGACAAAGCCGGGCATACGAGGCCCTCCACCAGGGTACCGTGAGTGAACAGTGGCCTCTGGTCATCCTCCCTTGCTGGGAGGTGGCAGCAGTTAGGAGCACAGGCTGCAGAGCCACACGGGCCGCGGTGCAAATTCCAGCTCCGTCCATTCTCTCATTCACACACACCCCAAGTACTACTGAGGGCCTACTGTGTGCCAACGAGCCTGGGTGGCACAGGTGGTTTGCAACTGACTGCTAACCCAGAAAGGAACCCTGGTGGCACAGTGGTTAAGCACTCAGCTGCTAACTGAAAGGTTGGCACTTTGAACCCATCAGCTACTCTGCAGGAGAAGAGACCTGGCAATCTGCTCCTATAAAGATTTACAGCCTAGGAAACCCTACGGGGCAATTCTATTCCGTCCTACAGGGTAACTACGAGTCAAAAATCGACTCGACAACAAACAATAACAGTTAACCTAAAGGTTGGCAGTTCAAACCTACCCAGCGGCTCCACAGAAGAAGGGCCTGGCGAACTGCTTCCATAAAAATCATAGCTAAGAAAACTCCATGAAGTTCTACTCTGTAACACATGGGCTGCCATGAGTTGGGGGCCAACTTGATAGCAGCTAATGACGACACTGTGGACCAGGCACCGTGCATGGACCTGGGGACACAGCAGTGAACCAGACAAAGCCCCCTGGCCCACTCATTCACAGGGAATGCGTACTGGCTGTGTGGCCTCTGACACCTGCCTACACCTCTCCAAGCCTCAGATTCCTCTTTTGCCATGTGGGGATCAGCATGGCATCCGCCTCACAAGGTGGTTGTAAGGAGTCTCTGAAACAGGACTCAAGGAAGAGGTTTGAACCCAGAAATCAGAGTTCTTTCCCCCACACCCCACTTCATGTGGCCCCGTCAGGCTGGACAGCCCTGCAGGGCAGTGACAAGGACCATGAGGGCTGCCCTCGGCTCCTCCAGCCCTGCGGTGACCCTGCAGCTCATGGCAGCAGAGTACCCGGGCAGCGCAGAGGCACCCCACTGGGAGGGCGCACTGCACCCCACAGTTCTACACACCAGAGTCCTCAGAGCCTGCACACAGTAGGCACTTTGCACACAGCAGGCGGTCTGTCAAAGCTGCCGGGCAGAAGGGAAGGGAGAGGGGCCACGTGTGCCCTTGACCACCATGCTCTGCCATGAAAACCACCCCTGTGGCTGAGGCGGAAGGATCCTTGGTCAACCCCTGGCATGCCATGACATGGGGGGCAGGCAGACCCTGTCCTCATGGGCTGGAGGTGCCCAGAGAGCTCTCAGAAGCAGACCCAAGCTCCTGCCTGCCCCACCAGGGCAGCCCTGCATGGTCTGACCCACCTACCACACTGGCTGCCCCAGGGCCTTTGCATGACGTTTTCCCTCATCCAGTCAGCTCTCCGTCTGCTTCGACGCTCACACTACATATGGCTTTGGAGAAGCCTTCCCTAAGCTCAGCAGCTGAGTCAAGACCTGAACTTGTCCTTCAGCACACATCGTCATTCAGTATTTGTGATGCTTTACTGAGCGACCATCTTCCCACTGGACCCTGAGGTCTGTTAGACCTGGAGCCACTCCCCGCTCTATCTCCAGAGGCTGGCATACAGCAGTAGCTCAGTAAATGCTTACTGAATGAATGAATCACTGTAAGAGGTCAGCTGGATCTGTAACCCCTGGCTCTTCCAGCAGATGTGTGGTGGCCAGCACCGGCCAGTGGTCACCCCTCGCTGGGACAGCCTACTTTCTGGGCATCCTGGGCCTCTGCCCATGCCTGTCCCTTGATCCAGAACACCTCTCCCTGCCAACCCTTATATGTCAGCATGCCAAAACCCCAACTCCGGGGCCAAACCCTGGCAGGAGCCTTCCCCAGAACAGCTGTTGCCCACTCGGAACTCAATCAATGCCCTGGCAATGGCTGGGAGCTCTCCTCACTGGGCCCCTTTCCTCAACTCCCCCAGAAGAACAGAACCATTCACTGCACACTTGCTAACATCAGGCATGCTTCTAACTGCTTCTGCAAAACCTTCACTCTCTCAGGCTTCCCGGCAGCTAGAGGAGGTAGGTCCCATTGTTGCTCCCATTTTACAGATAGGAAAACTGAAGCACAAAGAAGTCCCACAGCTAGTGGTAAATGGAAATCCCCTCACAGAAAATCAAAAAAGAAAAAAAAAACTGTTGTCGCGTTGATTTCGACTCATAGAGACCCTATAGGACAGAGGAGAACTGCTCCATAGGGTTTCCAAGGAGCAGCTGGTCGATTCGAACTGCCAACCTCTTGGTAAGCATCCGAGCTCTTAACCACTGTGGCCACCAGGGCTCCACTCCCCAAATGCCTGATCAGCGCCCAAATGCACAACACAAAGAATCACTCCCTGACGAGTGTTTATCGAATGCATGGTGAGCTGCCGGCGGAACTGGCGGGTGTAAGGCCTGAGTGGGCACTTGCAGGAGTCTGGCCTCAGCTTCCGGTCCAGGTCGCAAACCCACCAGGTGGTCAGGAAAATAGCCACAGGGTGAAAAAGAGAAAACAACAGTAACTTAATAAATGACATTAGCTCAGGTTTTCTGCATGTCCTGCTCTGTACTAAACATTCTGCATACATGCGCTCCTTAAATCCCCACAGGAAGGGCGAGGTCTAGCATCATGCCCATTTCACAGACTGAGAAAACCAAGGCATGGGATGAGCAGCTTGCCCTGGTCACACAGCTGGCAAGGGGCACAGCTGGGACGGGGACCAGGCTCGCCTGGCTCCAAGCACTGGCTAAATGTGGGTGAAGTTACCATTCCCCTGCCCCCACCTGGGACCTGCCCCCCTGCCCCCCCGGGGCTGAGAGGCGCCTCATTCATGCTGATGCTGCTCCACCAGAGCTCCAGAAACGTTACTTGTATAAATTAAGCAGTTCGGCTTGTACAGGGTTGGCTGAGGTTCCAGTCTCCGGAGCCCTGCCCCCAACTCACGCCATCCAGCACAAAAGGCGGTGGGGCTCCGAGAAACCCACTGAGACCTTCCTCTAGATGCCCCCTTTTGTGGTGAAGCCATAGACCAAACGGGGGTTCAAATCCTTCCTCTGCCACCTCCTTGCTATGTGACGTGGAGGAGGGGCCTTCCTTCTCTGAGCCTCAGTGTTCTCATCTATAAAATGGGCTGATGTTCTCATGGTGCTGGCTAGGAGCACTCAAAGAGCCGACATCTGTGGGACGCTTGGCACGGGGCTCAAGACACCAGTGGCTGGTGCTGTTTTATTACTTACTGTTAGCATCAGAACGGGAGAAAGATGTGGGAGTATACCTGCGTAAAGATTTACAGCCTTGGAAACCCTGTAGGGCAG